AATTGTTTTCAGCACATGTCAGTGTCCCAAAGTTCGCAGGGGTACCATTGTGATCCATTGGAGACATTTTTGGGACTAGGTGTTGGCAAGAACTATGCCTGGGGTGGTGTCGTGATGCACGCACGGTCTCCTTCAATTCTTAAAACTATCACAGGCACTCCATCACTCCATGTATTAGGCATATATATACCTGGTAAGTCCAAAACCTACTTTTTTTCAGGTCGGAAGGGAATAACTTGGTTTTTATCAAAAAACCAGGTTTTCAAGAAAAAAACCAGGTTTTTGCATAAACCTGGAACAAGTGCCTTCTTGGAAGGAGCATTGGACGCCGGAGGACTTCTGAAAGTGGACCTGCCCGTTCAGGATGGTTCCGGGCACCTGTTAGAAGTGGAGAAGTGCTTTGTTTGCTGAACAAATCAATCGAGATTTAGCGAAACAGTTCATACGCATACGCTTGATGCTTAACCACATCCTCTTGAAGGGTTCCAGCACATAGAGCAAGCACACAACTTGTTTTGTTCACCCACTGGGCAGCCATGCTGCCCCCTTTGCCTCCACTTCCCTGAAGCCGGCCCGGAGCTCATTTTTTCTAGATCGATTGAACGATCAAAGGATTTGCAGCAGCATGTGGCAGCAATCCTGCGCGAGTCAGTGCTGCAATGCAATAGCTGTTGCGGCTCGATCACCTTTAGTTTGACTCCCCATCGATCTTTTTGGTCTTCTAGATGGGTAGTAAGTTTGACTCCTCGGGCCTGGCTGTTGACTGGGAGAGCGATGGCCTTCTTCGGTTGAGGGTCCGTGAGAGTGGCCAACTTTTGGTTAAGGGTGAGAAAAATCAGGAGTGGGTCATGCCTACCCGTGCCAATTGCAATGCAAACAGGGCAGTGCTGCTGCCCGTTCTTCGCCGGCTGAGTTTGGTTGAGGGGTTTGCGCTGCCATGCTTGGCTCCCTTGCAGGGGGAGATTGGGGAGTTCTTGGTGGCTTGTGGTAATCCCACTGAGAGCAAGATGATTTGGAAGAATGCCGTGGAGATCAAGAAGCTAGTGGGCTTTGTGAAAAGAAAGGCCAACAGACATGAATACACGAAGGAGCGGTCATAACCATGTAGCGTGTGCTATTTATGTTGCAGGGTTCTTCCATGATGCTAGGGATCCAGGGCCCCTACAAAGCTATATGCAATACGAACAAACCACATGGGTTATTCATCCCCTGTTCAGGACATCCGCTTTCATGAACTCTTGCTGGCTTTGGATCAAGGCTTGAAGGAGAGGTTCTTCAAAATCAAAGGCAGTCAAAAAAAATAAAGCTGTATAATGAAGAACACTTGTTATTCCCTTCCGACCTGAAAAAAATAAGTAGGTTTTCGATGGTTTTCGACTTAACAGGTATATATGGATTAAGGTTTGAGACTTGTGGTTCGCTCAATCACTTTCCTTCAGTCAGGACGGAATTGATGCCTACATGAAGGAGAAAATGAACAAAGGTCCGTCGTTCAGTGATGGCAACCAAGTTGAGGACGGCGAATATGATGAGCTTGATTGGGGGCAGGACATTCGTGATCAATCGGCTGGTGACCTTGCCCATTTCAAAGAGTGGCTCGAAACTCTCACCGACAGTCCTGGTGGCTCCAAACTGCCGGCAGCTCCTCAGCCAATTCCTGAGTCACATGAAAGTGGTGGGCCCAGTGCTGCCGCAGCTGGCCCGCAACCTTCGGAGCCTGCACCTCCGCCTTCGATGCCCTTGTCTTTGCCCTCTGCTAGCCCAAAAGGATTCAAGGACAACATGCCTTGCCACTCGGTTCATCAAGTACATGCACAATTGCATGCGTGCATGTTTTTGGTTCTTTTAATATGGCTCTGAAACCTATGTGGACATATGGACTATATATGGCTTTACAGCTTTCACTTGCACAGTCGCACAACTCGATCCAAGTGAGGTGATGCAGCTGCAGTCGAGGAACTCAAGAAGCGAATTGAGAAGAAGAAGGCGTTGATTATGCAACGCCTTGCCAGCAGCAACCAGTACCTTGGCTTGTCCGGACATTTTATGCCCAGATCCAAGTGTGGTTTCAATAAACCTGCCCTGCTTGCAGCACTTCTTCAATCCCTTTGAAAGCGTTTCGACCCAACAGCCTTTGATTGCATGTGCACATGTGTCGATTTGTCTTTCGAGGTTGGAAAGCAGCCCCAGCAAGAAAGCAGACTCTGTACCAGGACAGTCTTTGATCGTGCAACGCGCATGTTCGCAGTCAAACATCTTAAAATTTTAAGGGAGATCAAGGGAGTGTGTGTGAACTTCATGCATGCATTTTATAGTTTGAATGGGTGCGTTGTTCCTCATGAATGGACGCAGGATATGCCCATGATGGTGATGACACGCAGCCCATGGCGAGCGGGCACATTGATCCCCCAAGCCTCCCACATGACTCTCAAGAGGATCTTTTGCTGGGTGGTGGGAACGGCGTGCTAGCTTCTCCACTTCAGAACCCAAAGGTCGAGGCCAAGTCTATGGTGCTGGAAGGTGGAGACAACGGGCGAGACAAGGCAGGCACCATCAATCCCTCAACACACAGATGCACGCGTGCAAATGTTTGTGTCCAAGACCTCGACTAAAAGTGCATACAAACTTTGGCTCATTCATTCGATCCTTATAATCCTTATACACACTGTCCTGGTTCATTTGGAAAAGGTATCATCAATCTCGAGACTTTTGTTGCAAATTTACATGCACATATTGCCATTCAGGCCGACGCCTTCACGCAGTTGATGCCTCTTCCCAAAGAGCTCCCCGTTCTTACTCGCCGCGACCAAATCGACATGGCCAAGAAGAAGAAGGAGAAGGAAGAGGAGGAGGAGGAGGAGGAAGCCCCGGAGGATCGGAAAGAGTCCGGAGCGGAGAAGGGCAAGGGGAAAGCTCGTGGCAAGCCTGCTGCGGCAAAGGCCAAGCCCAAGGCCAAGGCAAAGGCCAAGGCCAAATTGTCACCAAAGGTGAAGTGCACACCCAAGCGGCGTGCTGCTGTCAAAAAAGTTGCCAGCGGCTCATCAAAGCAGGACAAGCATGCAGATGCAGGAGCCCGCCGCCGTGGGCGTGCCAAGCGGAATTTGAGCCAAGAGTTCGATGAGGCCGCTGAGGAGCCAAAGGGTGAGGGGGAGGGCGGCCGAAGTCACCACATCTTGGATGATTTGGTGGCAAGGCTGGACCAGAAGGCGAGCCGCAAGGCCAAAGCCAAGCCGAAGGCACAGGGAAAGGCCAAGGCTGCGAAGGCCAAGGCTGCGAAGGCAAAGCCTTCCAAGCGTGCCAAGCAGCAGGTGGAAGAGCAGGATCCAATCACAGCTTTCGACCTTGTGGATGATTACCTGCACAATGCGATTGTGTCTGGCATTCCCCACCAGGTCAAGGACATGCCATTGCAAGACCTCAAAGCTTTCTTGGTGGCCAATGGCCCTTTCAAGGGGTCTGAGAGGGTCAGCTTGAGCACGTATTGGGGCCGCTGTGCAGTGGGCTTGAAATGGATGGTCTTGCCCAGCACCCCTCAGGTGGCCTACTTCGCTCTCAAAGGTCGTTCGGATGCAGGGCAAGACTGGAACCGTCGAATGGCTGTGGATTACCTGGCTGCGTCCTTGTTTGTAGCTTGCCTCGGTTTATTTGCAAAAAAACGATTTGGGCTAAACTCCAAGGTTGGTAAAGGGTCAGTTGTTTTAAATACTGAACTATACGACCGAAACCACTCAGGCACTGTGGATGGTAGAGCAGCCAACTATCCACGCAGAAGAGGACTTTACCAAGGACTTCTTTCAGGAGCAAGCTAAGGTGAAACATAATGCGATGAGGGCCTTGGATGGATGACCTCCTTTAGGTGGCTGATGCTATATCGTGCAAGTGTGTGCGTGTGCAAGTGCTATAAGCAGTGTGCAGGAAGTATTGTTTTGGATATATGCTAGCAAGGCCCATACCTGTTAAGCAATGTTTGGAACCAGTCGTGGAAGCATCATGCCAGGGGAGGGTCCAGCGCCATTTTGAACCATTAGGGAAACATGTGTCTATGCACATGTTCTGGTATGTTGCATGGGGCGACCCTCATGCCAGTACGGGGTGTCAAGCTGTGCAGCGATCTGGAGAAGGGAAAAAGGTGTATATTTAATAGGTGAGCAGGCCACAGGAAAATGTACAATGCTGAGAGCACCACTTGCTACATGGAGTCTACTGTCCCCAACATGCTTCCGTGTTGACTGAGCCCGTATGCTGGCTCAGGCCAATGCCACTGCGTGGGTGCAAGGGCCTGCTCAAGGCAGGCTTTCTGAAGCACGATGATGGTGTGCCTGCCTGGTTTTTTCCATCGAGCATTCAGCTTCAGCTTTGGAGGGTCGTGAAACTATATAGCTTATAAACGTTCTGTTGTATATACTACTTCAAGGTGTACTTTGGATCGTGTGTTTCTATGCATGCACCTCTTCAAAACATAGAGCGGGATGTGAGTCGAGTATAGCACGCGTAGAAGAACATGTGCTGCCCACTTTGCTCTACAAACAGCCTGTGAAGGTCCCGCGGTCAAGGTTTCAGGTTCACAGCCATGGTTTTTGAGCCCTCAAAGACGCCTGCTCTGGTCTACCGGCTGGAGAAGATTGGAGCCCCCCAAAGTACATAGCTTAGCCATGAGCTGTTTGAACTGCATGAACATGGACTCCCATGGCCTATATACTTTTGGATGATCTCCTTCATTTTCAAGCTCCTTTGTTTCTTTTGAGGTCTTCATTTTGGCTGTGCTTTTATGCATCTGGACGCTGCCGCAAATTTGCGAACAAGCACAGTGGAAGGACCCGGTGTATGAATATATGCGCATGGATGCGTGTGTACTAGTACGCTACATGGCATTTACGAGTTCGAACTAAATTAAGAAGTTCTCTATATGCAAACATTGATCCAAATTTGATTGACTGCGCAAGCCATGAAGCCATTTCACCCTGAGTGCCTGTCACTGGGTCTTGCCAGCATGCAGCCAGGAAACGCCTCTCCAGTGGATCGAGTTCTTCGCAGGCAAGGCGGAGGCGACCAGGATGATGGCCTACGCTGGGAAACGGGCAGCAAAATTGGATATTTTGTTCATGAACCCAACCTCTTCTGAAAAAGGGCCCGGAGGGACATGGAAGAAACATGGCCGCCATGTCATGGACCTCACAAGTCCAGAAGGGATGGCGTTACTAGCATGCATTTGGTTCGCTTTCATCGATCGGTCTAGGTGGCAATATGAACAACGGACCATATGTGTTATCTCCCGTGCGCAACGTCTCCAATCATGCGAACAATGAGGTTTGGGATCATGGCGATCCTCTTGGGGGACCATGACTGTGGCTTCCTAGCGCACTTTGGGCTGAAGTGCTCGAGCTTTGTTTCAATAAATGCCGGAACTTCCAGTAGATCAGTGTGCTCATCGGTGGGGGACACTCGATTCCCTTCAGTCAGAACTGCAAACTGCCTTGCAAGCAGGCTCGCTGTTTCGAAAGTCAGTTGTTAAATATATATATATATATATTCACCGTATATGAATTCCATGGTCAACTTGTACACTAGGTAGCGGTTCCCGGAGTAATGGTCGGTTATGTATTTGCCTGGCAGGGTGGTATTGCTAGCGATGCTCGTGGTTTGCTGTAATGGTACTTTCAGCATCGAGCAACCCAAGAACTCAGTTTTTGAATACTATCCACGGTGGCGGGAGTTTGCGAATAAGTTGTCCGAAAGCGCTGGCGACCACTCCGCCGGGGCCTCGAAGCTCTTCCAGCCAGGGTGTTCGGGCCAGGCTGCATTGGAGGTCCAGAATCAAGCTTTTTACCTTAGATCATGGAGCCCCTTCGTGACACTCCAGGCCTCAATGGTCCAATGAGTTTTTTGGGTCTTTTTGGTTCCAATGCATTTGGCATCGCCCAGGGTTGCAAAGGCAGCTAGTGATTGGTCATCGCTACATCGAAAAACACCTATATAGGTCTGTCCATATATAAATTTGTAATGACAAAGGGGTTTGCCTCATACCTGATGGAGACATAGCCTCATGTAGGAAATCACCGAAAGCCTTGTCAAATATATACTGTGAAGCATTTGGCATCCGCCCTTATGGATTGAAGCCAAGGCTGCATCAACCTAGCAATCATGGGTGTGTTTAAAAGGTGGAGGAAGGGAGTGATTTGCAACCTCCAGACGGGCCAGTTCATACCAAATCCTGTGGTGCATGTCAAATTCCTTCCTCCATGTCCTCTTCAGGGCTCATCCCAAATTTCTCCCAACCAGATCGATCACTGATTGGTTAAATTGTACATTGAAACGGTTGATGTCAAATATCTCAATTCTCGGGGGTCTTGCTAAAACCGTCCTGTCAACAGGGACCCGTATTAGTGACTAGTGCCAATTCTGGCTTCCATGCCCTGCAAAGTCCACCGTTGGTGTAGAACTCGTAAAGCCGTTGCTCCCTGACACAGTGTTTCAATGCATGTTTGTAAAGTTTGTGCTACACTGTTGCTGGACTACCCTTCAAACAACCATTCGACCTACTCCGAACCCCATCCAGCCCAGAGTCCAGTACCAACTGCCAGCAATGCTTCAGGTCTTCAAGGTGGTGTGGTACATGCTGGCCTACGGAGGGCCCACGCCAAAACCGCAGTATGCTTTGTCAAATTCAAAATGGATTCAATCACTGTGGACTGGTGCATTGAAGGGTTGGGCGAAACGAGTGAAAGAGGATCCCAGCAAGAAGTCCAAAACCACTATCAAGTATCGAGACTCTGCAGGGAAGAACCGATACAAAGGCAGTGCTTCACTTCGTGAGTCTGAGTCTGTTCCTCAGTGCTGCTCTCTCAAGAGTTTCTGAGATGTGCAGTCTTTCTCATGGACTCGTTTGTTTACCATGTTCTCCAAATGTACTTCCTCATTGCCACTTTCAACTGTGGATACTAAAGGCTCGTGTCACAAGGGACCCCGAAACAATCCAGGAACTCTCAAACCTTCCATCCTCTGGTTGTTTGAGGCAATATCCTCCCAGATTTGGATTGAAGCTAGTGGAGCTCTTCGAAGACCTCATCCAGGACAAGAAAGGCCTCCCTCCTTTGCCCGAAGTTGTGCCTCCTGCAGAGCGCATGCTGGAGAGCATGTTCTTTGAAGACCTGTGGCCGGAGGCAGCCATCCAAGATGTCTGCCACTATCTGAGGGGTGGAAAACTCCTCTCAATCCCACATAGTTTTCGGGACGTTTTGCCAGGCCGCCTTTGAGTCTAATTCAAAGGCCTTGGAGTCTAATTCAATCTCTCTGATCTCAGATGGGTGACTACAGACTAACGAAGAGCAATTGGTAGGACCATGATGGAACCAAGCAAATCTGGGAGCTCATACCCCGTAAATTGCAAGCAACCTGTAAAGATACGTAAAAACACCGTAAAAGGGAGTAACCACACCATAATTTTCAGCCCGTAAAATCAAACCCGTAACACAGGCGTACAAACCCCGTAAAAATCCGCACATAACCCGTAAAATTTTATGGGGTATTACTGCAATTACCTGGTTTTTTTGGGGCTATGTTTAACATAGTTTTTATGTGACTTCATCACCTTTCTACCTGCTTTTTGTCAACGTTGCCCTGTCTGAGATGGAAGGGATGGATCAACTTAAGAGTTCCATGCAAACAATTCGATATGGGCTTCGTATGGTCGCTTCGAGTCAAGGTTGGACTGTGACAAAAAAGCTTTCTAGTCACAGCGTATGGACTTTTTGAAATGCCAGTGAGAGGTATATAGGATTGTTCTTGCTCTGAGGGTGGATGTTCCTTTGGCTTGAAAGGCAAGTGGGATTCTAGCTTAGTGGTTTGTGCTGTGACGTTCCCCTTCACCCGATCAAAACATGGACTTTGGCAGAGCATCTAGCGCTGCTACCTTTCAGTCCCGTGCTTGGAGCATGCCCGAGCTTGGTGCGGGGTTGGCACATTTGCTGAACGACATGAATGCGGAGTTGCCTGATGATATTGCTTCCCTTCAGGCTTGCTCGACTTGGTGAGTGTTTAACTTTTGATCCCAATGACGGTCATTCTTCCACGGCAGGAGATGGAGAAGCAGTTGGCAGACATCGCAGCACAGCAATCGGCCGTTTCGTTCTCAGACTTTTCAATTAAAAGCACACATTCAAACCTCCGCCTTTAAGCTCCTAGTTGGTTTTTGCTCTAGAGGCTGAAGCCCGCGAAGACCTTGAGCAAATGGAGCTTGAGAAGCTTGAGAAGGCACAGGAGCGTGCCCAATCTCAGGCATTGCCACCACCTACAAAAGTGGTCACTTGCTGGTAGTCGAGTCTATATAGTCTTGAGTGATGTGTTTCTTTTGCACAAAGACGAACACGTGCAACCATCAGTGCATGTGTCTATGAGTTGAAGGGTTTTGTTGACTCAAGCGAGGCTACTCCACAGCATGCAGATCCTGTGATTTGGTTGGATGATACACAGCCCGGGACATTTCCTGATCTCCCATCTGCACCGACAAGCCCCACTCCACCTTCTATCGCACCGAGCGCACATTCGGTTGATCAAGCCCCCCCGCCCTAAAGGTAATGGATCATACAATGCATGAGAGCTATGTGGCAAATGACCGCTGTGTTGAACTGCAATTGGGGCGGGTATTCTCTAATTTTGTTGCCTGTCCAAGGCTATGGTGTCCAAAGTGGTTGAGCTGTGGGGCTCCGGCCAAATGGATTCCTTGACGGCCATGAAGCTTTTGGGAGCCGAGGTCCATGGGGAACGACCAGAGTCGGCTGATAAGTCGTCTTCAGCCGAGGGGGAACCCCGTGGGACCAAACGCAAATCACCAGAACCGGAGACACGCCATGAAGGGAATGCGGAACAGAAGTCCATGGACAAATCTGCTATTTGGTGGCATGTTGGGTCAGGATTGATATGACACATATGGGTGGAATCTTAGTGGCTACATAGGATTTTCTCGCCGCTATTCCGCTAAGGAGGCTGCGAAGCACGATGCCAGGATCAAAGCCAAGTTGAGGCGCATGTGTGAGGTAAAGGCTGGAGGTAAGATCCAGGTTCCCGACTGGATGCACAAGCTCTGGTTGAACGGTGACAAGGGCAAGTTGGCAAAGGAGTTCGAGTCTGTTGACTTCAACAAGGATGGTGGTTTTGAGTGTTTGTTGCTTTGTAGCGGTGTTTATACACTTTGTTCGTTGAAATGTATCGAGGGCTGCAGTACAAAATCAGTTAGCCAGCTCAAGCTAGAAAGAACTATATACAGAATCCCCTTCCCATGAGTTTTCACGTGTTAATCAAGAAACCGTTGGTGAAAGGGACCCAAACACTGTTTTGCCAAGCAGTTAAAATCTGGTCAGTCCCTTTGCAGGAGGAATTTGTTCGCATGTGTGAGCACAAGTATGTCATCAGTGATACCAAGAAGAATACAGTGGAACATGGATGGTTTTCAAAGGATGACATGCTCAAAGAGCTCAAGTGGTCCGCGCCACTCAGACCCATTGAGATATATTTTATATGGTCCCCCTAGAGCTATATTTTGTTGAATCATACGCCCGCACATCGTCTGACGCGGGCTTGATCAGGAAGAAGGTGGAAGGCGCAATCAAAGTTTGCCGGGAGGATCCGAAAAACCTTGTCCGGAGCCTTGTCCTGGTGGTCAGCGTAATGTATGATATGCGCATACATGCAAACTCCTAACACAGCCGCCATGATGATCCAATCTAAAGCGTGATGAGGAGAAACAAATACAGTGGTGAAGAAGAATTTTGGGTTGCTACGCGGGAGACTGGGCAGCGTGAGCAGAAGGAGGTCAATGAGAGATCGCGCACGCACAGTGGTATGGACTGGATGTGCGTGTGAACCCGTCTAAACATATAATTTTCTTCATCATTTTGAAAGCAGCTTGCAATCCAAATCAAACCAACTAAGTACTAAAGCACGGGTGTGCACAACCGGCAGGACCATGATACGTCTGACATCGCCGCCCCGAACACGGATGGCCTGGACAGCTTCCAGAAGCGCATGGTTGCCAGCAATGCTGCGCCGGCTGCGGCTGCCGCTGAGGTCTGACAGCTGCTTGTTCACCTTCGCAAAGTTGTTGTCTCTGCCTGGGCAGGCCAATGGTGGCAAGGAAACATTCCGGCGGTTCTGTGACTCCGTCCTCCAGAAATCGGCAAAGGTCAGATCTCTCGTTTCAGATTTGAAGAGGAACTATGTCGATGATATGGCCACCAAGTCCTACTCTCAATATTTGCATGAGTTAATTGCTATATACACAATGAACTTCTTATGAACCACCAAGAGGCCATAGAGAGATCGATAGTCTGATTTTATTATCTAGTGGGTGACTGCCCAGGTCTGTAAAGGCCCTCGAGAGTGACCTGGAGATCCTGGACACTGAATACTCCAAACTCTCGGAGCTTCTGGCAGAGGGTGAGAGGGATGATTTCAAACAAGAGTGGCTCACATGGCAGTATGAGTTTAGTGTTTGTGGAAATCATTCTTTTGTGAACTCGATTTCCAAACAGTTTAATTGGGGATGGACAAAACTCAGGTGGGTCACTAAATCGGAAGCTATGATGAAAAGCTCCACGTTTGTGTGCCCTGGATGCATCCGTGTAGCATGATAAACAGGTCCCAGGTGGTCAACCCTTGTTGTGCATGCAGGTGTACAAAGATCGCACAGAACGAGGCCAAGGTGCGGTCTGGTCCTCAAAGAAAGCAACAGCTAAGCTCATGCAGCAGCATTGGCCCGCAGCATTGGCATGCATGCACGCGGATGAGTATGTGCAAAACAAAACGTGTGCCCAATGACATTATTTCTTTCAATCACATTTACTGCACATGCCCAGGAATGCAAAACGCCACTTCAGCAAGGTGAAGAAGGAGAGTGACCAGTGAGCTTCTGTATCCCATGCATATATATTTTGGTTCGCTGTGTGATAACACGGTGAAGTAGTTGATCGCTGCAAATTCAGGGGTGACGGGCCGGTGTGGTAGTATCTTACAAGTGCTGGGTTGGACGGGCCTTATAGATCTTATAGGCTAAAGTTTTTTCAAGCTATACCGTATATGTCTGTATAGGGTCTTGACTCGGGTTTGAAATTGTTCATTCTTTATTTGACTCATCCCTCAGCCAAGTTTCAACGAGATGCTCGAAGAAACCGGCATGAACTTGCCATGAACTTATCATGGTAGTCGGGGAGTGGCAGTTGCAAAAAAAACAATGACATGGATCTATAAAGGAGTACGTGGATCGAGTGAACACGCTGCAACAACATGCAGCAATGGCACAACTTGAACCGTTAAACTCGGGTTGCCAGGTCCTGGCCACACTGCCCGGGCTCTTGCAGCGAACATTGGTGAAGGGGTCGGGTTGCCCAATGCAGCTCCATATGAATCGAAGTCAAGTCTTGTAGAGTTCTTGCACGATTGCACTAATTGCTGTATGCACCAAAAGGTATTGGCTCCGTTGTTTGTGTTTCAAAGCAAGACGAGTGCTAACACTTGAACAGCTGAACTGCATGCAAAGGTCATCCTGCTATCAGGTATGTTGGCAAACAAACAAAAACGTAGTTAGCGCGTATAGGGTGTACCGTGTGTGCCCAATGGAAACTCCTGAAGAAGAGCTGATTGATCTACTTTCATGCCATAGACCTGCAACATGGCTGCATCCAACTGCATCCCATATATGCGATGGCAGTGTTGAAGGTTTCACTCAAACTGCTGTTCAGTATGCACTCCAACCAGGCTTCGTTGGGCCCATATGCGTGGGAAAAGATGTACCCATTGCCATCTCGTTCCAGCGGAGAGTTTTCAGCACAGTGCCAGGGGATTCCGAAAAAAACACAAATGTGAAGATCTAGAAATCAATAGCTTGCCGCGCTCTCAAGATGTCTTCGCCAGAATCTATAGTGACCCGTGTATTACATGCAGGTTGCCAACTCCAGGGTCAACAGCAGGTGCAGTTCTACGGCATGCCGTTACAGTGTTTGAATCCTTACACGCACGCCAACAACCGATGACGTTCAAGTTCGGGTTCACGCACGATGCTCACTTTAGATGGAGAAACGCCAAGTTTGGATATACGGGGTCGGCCGAGAAATTTGAGCACATGATTGTCTTATTTGCTGCATGTCATGCTGATGGACCTGCCTTCCTCGAAGCAGCACTTATTCACCATTTTGGCAGTTGCGTGTCTATAATGTTAAATCCTATAGCTACGAAGAATGCTGTATCTTCTAAGTGCTGTTCT